AAAATAATAGCAGATGCAGCTTTAAAAGTACTTGGTGCTCTTTTAGTTGAAAGGTGCTGGGCACAAGTCATACAATCATTCATATTTGATAATCTCTATGAGAACCTTGGACCTGATGTTGCAGCCTTAATAACTCTAATGAATTTGCCTTTGCAAGCGTTAGAAAAATCCCTTGGAATTGTGTACATTAAAGAGATACGTGTCAGACAGTGTTCTATAGCAGGGAAATGTAGATGTTAGGAGGGAGAATTCTTAATCCATTAAATTACTGCCTCTGTTCTCCACTGATAACAGGTGGGTTGCTTTCAGAATGGCAAGACTTCAAAATGCTTGTGTGTGCTATGAATATTCAAAGGGAGAACAGTATACAGAAGTTTTTGAACATGCATTTTTTCTCTTCCTAAATCCACAAGCGTACTTCTGGAGTTGCGTTGAGCCGCTGTACCTTTAGGCTCTGAACTCTGCCATCTGTTACTGTGCACCTGGGGCCCCAAGTAAGTTTAAACTCTCTTCCAGAGGAGATCTCGTCAGCTGTTTGAAGACAATGATCATGCTTTCCCAAGACTTTTCCAGACTAAACATTGCCACCCCCTGCAAACATTCCTTATCTGGAGGAGTCACCATTTCCTTTCTGAGACTGTTTTAGTTATATTCTCTTACAGGGGCCCAAATGAGCAAAGAACAGAAAGAGACTATTTGCCCCTGCTGGATAGGGCACTGCATTGGGTTTTTATCTTCAAGGAGAAAAATCAGCCATAAAGTATAGAAGGCAGAGATTAATAATCCCAGGGGACAAACCAATGGGTTCTGAGCACTGCAATTCAGTATGGAGGCATACTGTAGCTCAAAGGAGAGTTTCTCTTTGAAATATTTTTTAAAAGGGTTTAGAGAGCACTTGTGCTTTATTTACAACCTATATGGCCCCTAAAACAATTGTCCAGTTAAATGAACTCAGAGGTTTAATTTCCATTCTGAGAATACACAGATTTGACATTTGCTTTTCAAAAAAACCCTCGTTCTCTGGCCTCTCTCACCAAGAGACAACATCATTGGTGAGCAAATACTGCTGCTTTTTTTTTTTTTTTTTTTTTTAGTTTTGTATCTTTATGTTTATCCGTGTGTATAAATATTTTGTTCCACTCAAGTTTTGGTTAGTGACTTCAGCAATGGGATGTGGTCAGAATAGGTCAGGAAACAATTAAACTAATGGTCAAACAAGAGCACAGCAGAAAGGTCCAGTGTAATATAGTACTTCTCATGCTATGTGACTCATTATTATGGTAATGCAGTGTTCTAGGCACACCAGTGCCAAGGTCGCTCTGCATTTTAAACTCACTTCTTGTGAAGGATGCCTTTGTACTTGCATCTTGAAGCATTAAAATATGTTTATAGATGTCCTGGGTACTGAGGGTGCCTTGTTCAGATCTCATTTACCAAGCTGTGCCTTGAGCTTTGGCTGCTAATGACTTACAGACATCATTTTCCCCCCAGAGATTTGTCCTCAGTCAAATGGGATCCTCCTTGGGGTGATGCCACATCCCTATTCCTTCCTGGGGCAGCCATGGTCAATGACTGGGTGACAGTCATGTACAAGGCAGGCCTCTTGTCTCAAAGGGGGTGTGCTCAGAGGCTCAGAGGGATTGTCTAGAGTTGGACTCCAGCTGAGGCCCTATCTTTGCCTAAAGCCTTCCCTTGTCCCTCTTGCTTCTTTGACCCTCCTCCTGAGGGTGTTCCAAGCATTAAACCATTTTCATAGGAATCTCTGAATCAGGCCCTTCTTCTAGGGATTCCTACATAAGACAATGCTGTGATTAATTTTCCATGTTATGGGAAAATTATGAAAGTGAATGATACTTTGTAACAGAAACTGTATAAGAGAAGTTGAAATTTAAGCAATCAAATCCAACCATTTTGATAATTATCTGTTTAAAAAGATCTGAGTTCCTTTAATATATTGTGTCTTCTAAGTAGGCTCCAACTAAAAAAAAAAAAACATTTAATTTAAAAATAATTTTAGAAACAAGGTGTCTGATCACAAACAAAAGAATGAAATTTTTTGGAAAAAAAATCTCCTTAATTGATGGATTAGACCAAGGCATGGAGTTAGTCATGTTAAAAGCACAGATTGACTTGTTGACTTCTTTGAGATTTCAATGAGATGCAGATCACCACATAGATTCAATACTCCCCTGAAATGAGCCACTGCAGGCAGTTAACGCAATAGAAAGATAAAATGCCATAATGGAATACATATAGGTGATACACATCAGAGACAGGACTCCCACCCTCACTTACACGTTCAAGGCCAGAGGATTACAAGATTGCAAGAGTGAACTTGTTGGTGGAGGAAATATGTTCATTTAGCCAAGTACAAGAGTCAGCTCCAAATTCTCCCAGGATAAGACTTGAGTCGTCCTGACAAAAGCAGTCATGTTCTTCTGGTCCCAAAGGCAGAGACATTCAGCCCTGGGGCTGATAGGCATCCCCATCTATTTCTCTATGTCTCCATGAAAGATTGGGTTGACTATCTTTGTCTTGCATAGGTCACCAATTTTTCTAGAAAGGGGTGGCCTAAGGAATTGATCATAAAGGTTAGCAAGGTCCTGGAGGCAAGATTAGATTAGCCAGAGGGTATACCCAGTATCTGCTTAGCCCAAAGGGGCTAACCCAGAACCAGGTAAATAGGTGAGGAGAAGTTTTAGCTCTCAGGTAGAAGGGCAAGGGCAAAGTTAGCAGTAGAGAGCTAAGGAAATTAGAAACGGATGGTCAATGGATGGGGCCTGAGGTCCTGTTCTCTTTTTATTGATCAATGGTCGTGCGGTAATTGTGTGGCCTTTCCAGCTTGAGGGCCTAGGCATCAGCAGCAAGGCACAATTGGGGAGTCTCACAGAACCAACTGTGAGCATCCACTCCATCTTAGAGAGGGTATCGGTTTCATTTTCTAAGGAAGCACTCATCAGCTGGAAAGTGAATAAATCAGATTTGATTTTTCTTATGCATCCTTATACAGCCCTGAGATTTAAGTTAAAGGGGGGGGGAATACCTTTAATATCTTTTCTGAAATGTCATACTTAGGGGCTAAGAGCATCTCATCTTTCCCTACCATCTAGAGTATGAAGATGGCCTCCTCTGGGGACGGGAGGCTAGATTTAAGGGATAAAGAAAGAGGAAGAGGGCAGATCACTTGTGCTCTGTTATCAGTGAATTTAAAACACCGTGCTTTGTTCATGAAGTTAGGACATTGGTCAGCCCCATCGTCATCTCAATTGCCCCTCCTCTCAGCTCCTTCCTCTTGTCTTTTTTATTTTCCCCTTTCTGTGCTACCTCACGTCACCTCTCTAAACCCCTTTCTTCATTCCTAGAAGAAGCCAACTACTGGTTTCCTTTATTTCGTCTTTGAAAAGAGCACTGTGACTTGTTGACTATTTTTTTCCTTTCATTTCAAGATAAAAAGGAGGCTGCAATATAAGTTTAATTATGATCAGAGAAAAGCAAAGTGCCATTCTCTTTAGCATGGGGCTTTTTTTTTTAATATTTAGAATAGAGTCTTTCAAAATTTTTGTGGTACTTGAGGTGCACCTAGAGTCCCCCTGTAGGGTAATGACTGTGACATTCCTCAGAGGTGAACTCATTCCCGTTACTCATTTTTAAAAACACATGTTCATTTGTCTTTTCACACTCATCACAATGAGATTTAAAATAGATGCTCACCATCACTTATTTAAGGGTTATGAATAGCACAGCCTTGAAAAGGCTTGGTGGAAATACGTGTGGAAATTGAAAGTGACGCATCAGAACTAGAAGTCAGGCATTCACAAAAAGATTAAGGTTGGAGGCTGGACTGCCTAAGTATTCTGAGCATGGGGCATGCTGAGACCACCACTGGTGACCCCATGCTGACTGTCACACTCCAGCCACCACTTCCAGTTGGAAGGGGGAGCACAGGAACTCCAAGACATGGCTGAATTTACCAAATGATAAAGGATCTATAATCCAGAGACCACCTAAGTGGTCATTTAGATTAACTGACCCTGCGTTCATGCCCTTCTTCTGGTGGCTTACAGTCCCCGCTACTAGAGAGAGAGTAGACACTCCATCCCTTGACTCTGGCTTGCTCTTGTAACTCACCCTGAACTCAAGAAATGCCATCAGAAGCCCAAGGCCTGAAGAAGCTTTGAGTTCTTCTACCTGTTCTTGCCAGAAGAACATGGCGAGGCTGGGCCATTTGGTTCAAGGACATGCAATAAATGAGTGGAGTCTGGATCAGCCAGTCTCTAGCTGTTCTGAAGATGCCCAAGTGAGAGGAAATACTGCCTCTGTTTTAAGTACTGGAGTTTAAGGGTAGTTATTAAGCAACACCATGGTGGGAATCCAGGACCGATATAAGCACTACTTTTAAACATGGCTTGTTTCAAGGAAGAACATGAGTACTGCTACTAGAAAGTGAAAGTGTGGGTAGATAATACTTTCCTAAAAACGAGAACTGGCCTGATGTGTTTGATTCTAATAGGAACTAAAATGGCTCCTGATTGGAATATCCCATTCCTTAACTGGGCCTCGGCAAACGGTGAAGGGAATTGCAGAATTCTGTGTTCTTGGCCATACTGGAAGTCATCCAAATGTCCAGTCTCAGTGATGGCAGACATTGGCCTCTTTGGGAAACACACATTCCAAGTCTCATTTATTGCCCATATGCAATGTTGGGATGATGTAGATGTACAAAGACTCACTGGGGGATAACCCTAAGGGGTTTTAGGGCCCCCTGGAGGACCAACTGAAGTTGGTCTAAAACTGTAGCACAACCCAACTTCTCTCCCTGCCCAGCCCTGCTTCCCTTACCTCTCCACAAACACTGTTCTCCAAAGCAGCCTCAGCAATCCTATCTGTATATTTCTGAGGCTCAGAGTCCATCTCTGGATACCTGGACCCATGGTAGCCCACTTTCTGTCAGCTTTCCAGGGGGTGCTGGATCTGGAGGAAGGGGCAGGGGAAAGCCTTACCCACTATCATGTGGTTGCAGACGTCGCAGAAAGTGGGCTTCTTGAAAATGTGTTCCTGAAAGGCATGAGCCTTGCCGCTGCCTGGGTGCAGGCCAGCCCTGGTGGGCGTGGACGCCAGGCTTCCCGGAGCAGGCAAGGGGCTGGAGCTGGGGCTGACCTCGGCCTGCATGTCCGCTTGCAGCTTCGCGTCGCTGTTGGTCCGCTGGAAGAAGTTGTCAGCACTTTTGCTCCGTAAACTCTTGGTCTTGAAAGAAAGTGATCGTTTTAGTTTCTGGAGCTGCAATGCAATGACAGAACAGTCTCTCTTACGATCTATCATGCAGATTCATGCTGGGGGTGCAGAGGTCAGCTCCATGCACAGAACGGTTCCGCTGACACCCACAGTCCCCCTGGGAGGCGCCTATGTGTCCTTGTGTGGGTGAGGATGATGTCAGTGCCCAGTGAGGTTGGAATTCAGCAACGTCCCCTTCCCTTGTCCCCAAACCAACAGGGCAGGAAAAGGCACCGTTGAGCCTCTCTGCCTTTCCTTCCCTGCTTCCTTAAATTCCACCAACCTGCAGTCACAAGGGCTCTGCCAAACTGGGCTTTTGTCATCATTTGCTTTTTTTATTCTTTCAGAGTTAGAGATTGAACCCAGGGCCTTACGATGGGAGGGCAGGGGCTCTACCACTAAGCTATGTCCCTACCGGCAATACCATTTGCTTTTGAATTTGAATAAACTGGAAATGATGTATCAATTCAAGGGCTCCAAGGCTGTGCGCAATGCTGGCTTTCCTCTCTTAGGATCACTTAGCAGCTGCTTGTCTTTGCACACTGCCAAGCAGGAGAGGCCACTCTCTGACTTGACATCAATCTGGCTAAATTATCCACAGAACACAAACCAGAAACTTGCAAGTTCACTTGGATCTGGAGCATGTGGATAAGTAGCCTCTGTGTGCATGCCTCTGTGTGTCTGTGTCTGTGCGTGTGTGCACATATTTGACATAGTGTTTCTATTACACATTTGGCTTTCTTTGTCCTTCTTATGGCACTGTCCCTTGTATTTTTTTGGGGGGGGGTAGGTGGGTACTGGGGATTGAACTCAGGGGCACTTAGCCACTGAGCCACATCCCCCAGCCCTATTTTATATTTTATTTAGAGACAGGGTCTCTCTCCCTGAGTTGCTCAGCACCTCACTTTTGCTGAGGCTGGCTTTGAACTCACAATCCTCCTGTCTCAGCCTCCTGAGCTGCTGGGATTCCAAGTGTGTGCCACAGTACCCGGCCTTGTCCCTTGTTTTGTCCATGACAAACTAGATCATTTCCCCTTTGCCTTTGGGATTTATGAAGAGGCACCAACATGGATTTAGAAAAGTAGTAGCTTCTGCCTGTCTTTCTGGGTTTGAGTGGAGGCTGCAGTTCTAACCCAGCCCCCATTACTGCCTTCTAATCCAGTCTTCTCATCAAGGCTGGAGGGATCTTTTGGAAACATCGATGTGAATGTGTGAGACTCTGTTTAAAATCCTTCAAGACATTTCCTTTTCCTTAGGTTTAAGGAAATCTCCTGGCCTTGGGCTCTAGGGACTGGTCAATCTGGACCTGGTAACAGCAGCCCAGCACCTGCTCTGTTCATCCCAGACACTGGCCTTTTCTAAGTCTCTCATATTCACTATGCTTTTCATCATCAGCCTCGCTTCCCTTCAGGGAAAAGAAACGAACCAGTACTAGGTGCATGGATTCCAACCGGTCACTTCACCTTAGAGGTAGCTTCCTTTATAACTGTATGCCTATGGCAGTTGTCCTGTTGCCTGGAATTAACATCCATAGCTCAGAGCTGCAGACAACATGGGACTCCATTCTGAAAAGGGTCTCCACCAAATGAGGTCAGGCTCTCCTTCATGATATATAAGATGATCTGATGTGACATTGCCAAATCCAGGCACCTCCACCTCCAACTCCCAAACATCTACCTCAGAAGACCTGGGAGGTGTGGTGGACAATAGGGCTTGGAGTAAACCTAAAAAAAAAAAAAAAGCCACAATTCCCTTCCCTTCACCCTCCTATCCACCTGCTTTGCAATGTGGCTTTGCAACTACTCCCTTAAAACTGAAGACCCATCAGGCGCCTTGGAGCACACCTGTAATCCCAGCTGCTTGGGAGGCTAAGGCAGGAGGATCATGAGTTCAAAGCTGCCCTCAGCAATAGTAAGGCACTAAGCAACTCAGTGAGACCCTGTCTCTAAATAAAATACAAATAGGGCTGGGAGGTGGCTCAGCGGTTCAGTGCCCCTGGGTTCCATCCCTGGTATGTTCCCTATCCCCTCATAAAAGTGAAGACCTTTTTCCACTTCTTTAATCTTGATGGTTTGGGGAATTTGACCAAGAGAAGGTGACAGAAGCAATTTGAAGCCTCAGGATGCTGTGCCTGCTTAGGGACTCCCTTTGGAAATCTGCCAGACTGCCATTTAAACAAACCTCCAGTAACCTTAAGGATGATGAGAGACATATGGTCTAGTCCAGCCCCCATCACTCCAGGAAGAATCCAAACACAGAACCACCCTGCTGCCCTGCAGGCATAAGGATGTCCAGCTGGGACCAAAACTATCCAGCTAAATCTCACTCAAATTGTCAACCCCCACACTCATGGTGTTTTAGGCCATAGATCTATAGATCTACTTTGTGTACAGTAATAGATAACGGACACAATACTGTTCTTCCCACCCTCTGAGCATGTGAAGGGATGGTACTTCTTTGCCCACCTGAAGTTGGTTATGCTTGTGTGAAACCAGCTCTCCACTTCATGGAGCCACTGAGTGGGAAGACTCTGTAAAGCCTTCTAGAAAAGTCCCACCAGTGTCAGCAATGAGGCATCATCAGCCAGAAAGGACCAAACAGAGAAGCTTCAACTATCTACACAGAGACGTTGAAAACAGTGGCTCACCTGATACTCTTGTCTCCTTTTCCCTGCCCTACAGCTCAAACCTACCAGAGAAACTAGACTTGCCAAAGACAGAAGGAGGGGCCCTTAGTTATTCTGGAGTTGCTTATTTCTGTAGCATAACCTGGCATATCCTGATATGGGGGAGTGAGGTCATGAGTCCTTGGGAGCATTGCATTTATTTTGAAGAGGGCCTTTCATCTCTGAAAGAGCCAAGTGAGAGAAAATTATGAAGCAATCATTCACTGAGATCAAGCCAAACCAAGGTGAAGATCTGGAAGCAGCAAAGAAGCAAAATAGACCTTCTTTACTTCAAGTCCTTCAGGCTGTAATCTGGACTAGTACTGGAGAAAGGATGAATTAAATAGGAGGAGACACTATAGTCTCATTTTAGACTTTAATACATTAGAGTAACCAAGAAATTCAGGATTCTGCTAAGATATTTGTCAAGGATGTGCAACTCAGGGAGAGGGAAGCTTATCAAAGCAAATACCATCACAGAGAAAAACTAAAATCATTTTCTGTTTGCCTCCCACTATGTTCAAATAGTTCAACAAATTGGCTACCCATGTCTCAAAATAGAATAATAACCCCTGCCCTGATTATACCAGGACAGAGTGGTGAGAGTCATAGAGGATAATGCATGGGAGAGCTCTCTGAGAATGAATATAAATGGCAGGCAGAACAGGGGAGCCAGATCTGAGGCCGTGGAGCTGGGCCAAATACTTCACAAGGTGATCCATCCCAATCCTCCCTACCCTTCAAGGGAGATGTTGTTTCATTCTTGGAGAAATGGAGGCTGACAGAGTTGAAGTAGCTTGGTTAAGGTCACCTAGCTTATGTGAATCAAGACCAGGTTCAATGTTAAATTGCCTTCCTCTGGCCCCTATGGGCCCTCCACTGCCTGTGAGTCTTCTGGGGATGGATGGGGGGATAAAAGAGAGTCACTCCTCACTACTGGGGAGAGAACTGATGTTGGTCAGTGAGGGGGAGGAGGGATGTGGAGTGGGAAAGAAAAATCTACTTTCTGGTGTCAGTGTGTCCTGGAAGTTCATGTCTGATATTTAAGTGTGATCCTAGGGAAACCTGCAATCTTTTCCTTGCCTTATGGTATGGGGCCTGAAATTGTGTCATGCTGTTGAGGCCTGCCTGCCTCTACAGCCTGAGAATTTCCTTGGAAGCAAATGTAACATTTTTCATTCAAATGGACAGCATAAAAACCAAATAAACAAAGTCTCACACGTGAGCTCAAAGCAACACACTTTTGCCTAATTATCCCTAAAAAAGCAGAGGTAATAGGAACATATAAAATCCATAAATTGAAGCAAACTCTGAAAATTGCATATGTCACAAATAACTAGCTTCCATGCACCAGTGCCACAATCCATTTCCACTTGATTTGTAATAATCACAGTAAAATTAGCAGATATTCTTGAGTACCTCACCATGTGCTGGAAACTACTCCTTATACTCCTTAGCACCATTCATTCATTAAATAATTCATTCATTAAATAATTCATTCAACAAATATCTATTGTGTTACTACTATGAACGATAGTCCTTGATTTTGGTGGTATAGCAGTGAGAAAGGACAATGTCTTTCTTTTTAAAGATTTAAAGTGTTGTAGGCAGAGACATAAAATAAATTGATATATACTAAAATTTGGATGGGTAAAAGGCTACCAAGGAAAACAGTAGCAGATTCAGCCTTAGAAGGTGATGAGGAGGTCTTCTCTAACAGGTAGCATTTGAGCAGAGAAAGAAGTGAGTGTGAGCTACACTGGAGAAGAGCATTGTGGGTGGTGGTAAAACCAAAAGCCAAAGCCCCAACAAGAGAGCAAGGTTAGTATATGTAAGACACATCAGGAGGACAGTGTCTGCAGAAGGAGAGGAAGGGCACAGATGCCAAGGGCAGCATCATTCAAGGCCTTGTAGGGCTTTGGAATTTATCCTAAGGGTAATGGTTTTGAACAGGGAAGTGAGAATCTGACTTTTATTTAGAAAGGACCACTCTAGCAGCCTTTGGAAGACATAGCAAGAAGACAAGATGGAAGCTGGAAGACCAATTGGGAGACACTTGGTCCTGAGGAGATATCGTAATTCTGCTTGGCCTAGCATGGTTAGGGTAAGATGTGGCTGGACCAAAAAGGTAGAATTAGGGGATTTTGAGGGGATGGATGTGGAAGGTGAGTAATTTCAAGATTTATGATTGGAACAAATCTGTGAATGGAGGTGTCCTTTACTGGATGGAAGAACACTGGGGAAGAAAGATGCCAACATGGGGAGGGTGGTTTGAAATGCTTATTTGGAATTCAAGTGGAGCTACCAAGTTGGCAGCTGCATATATAATTCTGGGATTGAG